CCCCCCCCCCCCCCCCATTGCAGCCTCCGTAAGGCCAGGAGGCTATTACCAATATTTGCATGCATCACAAAACTCCTTTGTTCTTCTCTCGAGGACTGACGTATTTTAGGCTCAGCGGTTGCGTTTCATTTGTTGGATGCGACCCTTAGAACTGAAGGCTGCTATCATGCACAAGCTGCCGAACCTGCCCTTCAGGTCCTGGCGCTGCCGTAGATACGAAGCCAACTGATGTTGAGGAGTTCAACAGCCTAAGGCACGCTGCTCCCTTGCTCCTTTCAACACATCCACATCTTGGTTTTCTGCCATGTCATCTGCTGAGACACAAGCCAAAGCAAGGTTGGCAAAAGCACAACCAGCGGCAGTCGCCTCTTGGAGCAAGCCATTGCTTGCACGGTGCTGGGTGGCCAAGTTGCTTGGGATGTCATTGCAAAGACTCGTTATGCTAGCGGGTTTGGCCTTATTGCGAAGAGCTGCAGCAAATTCGAATGAAGTGTCTTCGGACCATGTTGCTGCGACGTCGTGCCCATGTGTGACTTTGGATGTGCAAAGCTTCCGGATTTGCAGGGCATGAACCGCACGTCTTTGCAAAGTCGAGCGAAGGATCAACCGGAGTATCTTGACAAATCGCATCGCCTTTCTTTCGTTGTTTGTGCGCACTGCTCCCTTGGAGCATGGCCGGCCATGTGCTGAATGGACTCATGTCATGTCACTCTTCGAGTGCTTGACTGAGCCCTACACAAGAGGCATCGATGGTGCAAAAGTTTGGTGGTTCCTTAAAACCGGCTCCCATTCTGCCGTCAGCAGGAAGCGGCAATGTAAAGATTGTACGTGTGGGAAGCATCGCCATCATCTCATCCGTTGAAGTTTCCTCTCATTGAAGCGCCTGACGGCATCAGGCATGTGGAGGACTTGGCTGGGTCATGCATGCACACTACGCTTCTGCTTTTCTGACTCCCTTGTACACCATGTGAAAGGAAGTGCGATTGCAGAGTGTGAACGAGGGCGATAGGTGAAGCTAAATCACTGCAATCTGCGGGCCCGCTTCTAGATACTCAGCTGCAGTTTGTATTCCCTATGGACAGTACCAAACTGCCTCCGTGAGGTCGTTCCGCTCACTTTCTGCGAGTATGGTTTGTAGTCGTAATTTCTTGCTTCCACAAACTTCTTCCGCTGAGGTTATCGGCAGCTGCTTCCACAAGTCGTATCTAGGTCTTAAACCGATTTGTCAGAGCAGGCGCGAGTTCAGCTGATTTTTGATATCCGTACTGAGAAAGCCAGATCTGTCATGGAAATCCAGAAGCAAGAAACACACTGCCAAGCAAGGTTTTTCGGCACGAAAGGCTGTGGCTCAAGTTTCGCCACTCAAGCTCCCACATCGATTCCACGAACCCTCCGCGCCGCGAATATCCTCCGCTGGAATAGACTTTGAATGAAACGTGTATAGAATGTTAAGCTGCTGAAGCTCTGCTGAACCCTTCTGCGAACGAGCCGCCGCTTCGCACTTAAATCTGGTTTTCTGATCCTGTGCCTGTCCAACGTTTGCTCTATACTTAGTGGTCTTCAGATGTAGCAGGTGGCTGGTTGGACCCCGAACCCTAAAGATTGTACTGTTCAAACCGACTCAGTAGGCGAAATCATCCTACATGAGCATGAACCCGTTGCTAGCAGGTTGGGCTTTTTCTAATACATCTTTTGCAATGGTCCAGGGAGGGTCTGGGGCATTCAGTCTCTGCAGCTTCAGGATGTGCAAGCCATTGTTCAGCTTTTGTTCGTGATGGGAAAGCAAACTCTGGCGCCTGGTCGTCTTCAAAGGCCAGGCAACGTTTAAAGGCTTTCCAAACATTGCGGGCCCCCTTTGTGTACCTTTCTTCACCCCAAAACGTGTTTTGAGCAAAATTAGGCACCTCGCCGACCAAGCGTGTAGGACTGGTGGCTCCTGTTCATGTTTGAGGAGTTGAAGATCTTCGTCATCTCGCGAGACCTACGGCAGGGCCATATGTTCTCCCGCACGCTCTAGACTTGAAGTGATCAGGGCTATACAAGGCTCAAATACAGGGGCTACATGAGGGTTACGGAAGGATTATATACCGATTGTATAGCGCTATCCAAGGATTTGTTGGGCCTCTTGTCGGGATATGTAAGCATTATACAAGGTTTGGGACCAACCGCAACAAGGGAGAATCAAGTGGAAAATCGAATGGAGAATGTAATGGAAACTGCTATAGTACTGGGGGGCGGGACTTCCCATGAGCACCTATGAGGACTAATTTAAGAAAAAATGCTGTGTTCCCAGTATTTCCCAGCTACATGCGTGGCAGCAGCTTCAAGCAGAACAGGGTTCTAACGGCCAAATCAAGAGTAACGTATAACACCTACATGCTTCCAGCTTCCACTTCATGTCCGATATGATTCTCCATGAGTGGTACTACCCCTTAACCATACATATCCCCGTAATATGACCCCTACGTATAGCTGTAAGAGAAGCTCTCGTGCGAGGCAATCATCTCACCTGCGATTGTGATTGTGAAGATTTCGATTGGAAACAATTCCTTGGGCAGCAGCAAGCAAAATGAAGCACACGGAAGAATCAACATCTGGTACACAGAATCGTAGTGCCAGGAAGCGGGAGGGAGACGACTTTCCGTCCTTGCAAAACTCTGCGCGCACGTCGAATAACCACACTCACATTTTGAGGGTCACTTTCCCTGGACGTACAAAGCTTCTACACATTACAACAGAAAGCGTCCTGCTCGGGTCCAAGTCCACTCGCCTGACAGAGGTTCGATGACGAGCTGATTGTGGTAATCACGCAGCAGTCTGACAGTTGCCGAATCCACTCTGCCCACTTCTGTTGATGGAGTTGCCTTGATCTGCTTGAGATCCTTGCGAATGAACTCCAGATCTTGGCGAATGCAGAGCACATCAGCCTGGCAAAAGCAGCTGAGTTTTCACCGCTGCACTACTAGGACTAGTAGGACTGTCAAACGCAAGACAGAGATTACAAGGCCATAGCTGATTTTGCTGGACCATGAGCTCGAATCATTCCTGAAGCGTGCATCTGGATGCTTTCCACGACCGCAAGACCCCATGCCCAACTGGTATACTCAGGTAAAGCCAGTTTGATCTGCTCATGAACAAATCAAAACTGCAACGACTTGGTGGTAAAGATTTGGGAGACAGGTTCTGCACCGAATGGATTTCTCTGATTTAAGCCTTTTGAAGCTGTTAATGCGATTCTGAGAGATTAAGCAAGAAGTAGGTGGCCTCAAGCCATTGCTTGAATATTAAAGCGACAACTTGTTGATTTGTACACAAGCTTCTGTTCATCAGCACCTGCACGTCTCTCACGCTAGCAAATTGGGCTGCCATGAAAGCCAGTAGCGTTGGCATTGAGCCATCATGTATAACTCGAATTGACTCGCATGTGAATCTACTCAGGATTCCAGGATGTGAGCGAGGGCGAGGATAATCCGAACCTGGCTAGGATTGCCCCATCCGCATCACCCACGCAGTTCTTGACATCAAACGGAATGGAGCTCAACAAGAAACCCTAGTTTGGGGAATTAGCCTGCAGTCACCGCACTGACTATTCGTATTATTGATCAAGCCAATGCTCCTTCCATGAACTTGGTGTATGAGACTTGGCCATCTTCGTCAGCCAGCATGTGGAAGAGCGAGTGGCTCTCCTTTGGAGACGTGTAACACGACGGGTACAGCGACCAGTACCACCAGCCCATACCAACACTTTGAAAGCCACTGATGGCCAGCAACACTACACGGGCCATCATCATGTTCAAGATCATCAGCGTGCGTCTTGCTGCATTCTGCTGTACAATGAGAGCCTACGGTGACCGAGCGGCACTGAGATCCACCTCCAAGCCGGCAAGAAACCTCTTGACATTTGGATCCTGGATAGATCAGCATATGTGGTTGGCACCATGCAAAGGAAGGGGCTTTTCATGCAGATGTCCTCCATCATGCTCTTGAACTCATCTTCTGAGATCAGGCCATCGCCAGACGTGTCAACTTCGTGAAAGACTCTTTCCAACTTGCGCATGTACTTCTGCTTCGTGGCCTGCAGAGGACCCCACTTAATTGCAAAGCTCAGGCAGCACCTTCTCGGCACCAGAGGACATATGTGGGACGGCTCAGCCCAAGTTCGTAGCATTGGAACCATGCGAATATTGGTACTATTACACGGGGACACAATGCAGGGATCGCATGGGCACAATAGAGGGTCATAAGGAGGTAGGTCACTGTAGCTGATCGAAGCTGTCTGCGCCTCCTTCTCGGACATCACGACCTCGTGATCCTCGCCTGCAGCATCGAGCGTCTCCTCGAAGCAATGGCAAATCTGGGAAACGCCATGTGCAGTACACGGGCAGCGGAATAAATGCTTGCCACTTATAGTCAAGTTCACACCATATGCCGAGGCCAGCAGGGTGCTCATCTCAGAGCTTACCCATCCGAATATGTGCGAATGAATGATCACTGGTCATTACTGGATCTGATCGGAGGGAGGTGTCCCTCTCAGCACAAACTGATAGGCCAACTGCTAGTTGTGGAGATGATGTGAGGTCGGTGCCGTGCCTGACTTGTTTTTGCAACTGGCAGGCATCCAATCATGTGCACAAATCCATCTGCAGCAGATTGTAGGAGCGTTGTAGACCTATCTCAGCACAGTATGTCTCATCGATGCAAATCTGTGATGACGCCAGTGCAGACATCAGATGCACACATTGATACACGTTAGCTATTTCTCAGCTTTATCGGACAAAATTGCCATGGCTGCAACACATCCAACTTCTGACATTCACCATGGGACCGCTTTCTGCAGCATCAGTTCGCAGGGCTAGACTTCGGTTTTGGAAGTTTTAATTCTAGTGAGGCCAACTTTTGATGGCGCATGCCCAAACCCGAAGGTCATCTTCATGGCACCCAAAATATATTGCAGGTCCACAGCGCCCTCCACGCAGCATTTGTAGCTCTTGTGCCAGCTCATTCAAGAAAGTATAGGGTGGTTGTCAGTAAGTATCTGTAACTATCTCTTGGATTGGAGACTTCTTCGTTCCTGGGTTTCTGACTGGGCTCGTTTCCTCATTGATCCCAATTATTCGCTTCGTGGCTTGCATGGCTTGGGGATTACATAAGGTTCCATGTCGTTTTTTCAGCCGGCTTGAGGCTGCTGCTTTTGGCTTCGGCGTGCGTGTGTCTTCCACGTATTGGCGTCTGGTCCGAAGAGACGCCCAGGGCTCTTGATAAACAGGCATATACCGTATGTGCTGACGCGTGCATGTTTGGTGCTTCGTCTCGTGCTTTTGTCATGCTCTTGCGTGGGCGAAGCCGAAGCAATATACTCTGGCTTCTGCGTATCGCGAAGAACCAGCAAGTAGCAAATCAGACCTCCAGCGAAACCTCGAGAAAACTTCCCAAAGTTCAACGCAAACTTCGAACACTGTGCACTAACAACCAAGCAATGACAATTCTAGCTTGGGAACGCAAGCAACCCATCCAAGTTGGTGTCACAACCTTTTCTTTGATATGACCCCAGCAATGCCAACCACTTTCGTCTGACTTTACCGCGATCTGTGGGTCAAGTTGCATTAACTGTCAGATGCTTGGTATTTCCTGCTGACCCACCACTATATCGCCACTGCAACCTTGGTCACACTTCTTCCTGCGTCCAGACCCAAAACAACTCACAAACTCGCGGCTTACGCTTCAGGACATCTTGCGGATCTTTCGGCAAAATATAGAAACTGCAAGTGATTTAACAAGCGGAGCAAGAGGTGCAAAGGCTTGTGAAATTGAACGCTGATCAAATTAAGGCCTAAGGGATCATGAAGTGCTAAGCTGCAAAGGGTTCAGGCAGTTCAAAAAAAAAATGACTTTAATTTGTATGACTTCGACCGAAGATGTTGGAAGATGTTGGCTTTACAAACACTTGGGTGGTTCCTCGCGGTGGGGGGTTGCGTGATGCAAGAGGGTTATAAGGATGCCCTGGGGATGTGTAATGCTAACAAACATGATTTCGAAAGCAAGCGATCTAAGGCTTGAGATTTCGCATGAGCAACTTTGGGTTCCAGGCCGGGGCCGCTAGGGCCCATCACCAAGTCAAACACATGCATTCGTGCTAACTTAACATCATCAATGATGCATACACCCTACCCAATGGCTTTGCCGAGCCTTGATGAAGATCGCAGTAATCACCCGCATCACGGCAAAAACCACAAACGTCACATAGGCGCAAAAAAAGACTGAATACCTTGCCACAGTTGAGATTGTGTAGGTGCTCACATAACATGCTCACCAATCACGCTGCTCACAGCAGCAACTGTCATCCTCACCGCTCTGCTAAGCTGCCATTGGCTGACGTTCTCGTACAGCGGGTTCACATACGAAGGCCAACATCCTGCAAAAGTCACCTGCAACAAATCTTCAAGTTTTCTGCATCACTCTTGCGCGAGGTAGAGGTTTAAGTCAACTGCACAAAATGGATTGCTGCCGACACCGAGCTTGACTGAAAGGCTGGTCTGCATCGCAGCAATGACAATTTTGGACTTAAGATGTGTCCAAAGAGTCCGCAGAAGCACGTCTGACAACTTTATTTGAGCAACATGGCTCCTGGGGCTGTCCAAGTGTCCATTAGGGCCATAGTACATTGTATCGGTGACTGGATGAGTTTTCCTCCACAGAATCTCCCTGCTGGTATGATTGTTCCAGAAGTGCAACCAACGTTGAAACTGATGGAAAGGAAAGCGAAGGGATCTTTTCTCTGCAGCCTTCCTCGAAAGTCTATGACTCCCCACATGCATCCGCAGCAGCCTAAGGCTAGGATGCGAAATCGCCAATGGCATCGCAAGAGGGGCACGTCGTAGCCTAGGGTTGCCTCAAGCATGGGCCAAAGGAGCTCCTTCGGAAGACAGTGGTACCGCGCAAGCACACGAAGGTGGAGGCACGTCAGATCTGCACACGTCCTTTGACATGCCCCCAAGGGTGATGCCATCGCATTCGGGTGCTTGCACTAAAAAATTGCTGCAGAAAAACAGCATCATCTGTCGAATCCTCAGGAGGTTCATCTTCAACATTTTTGCTCTCCGCTTCGCAGAGATGGATGCACCGTCGAAGGGAATGCGCCATGTCCCCTGAGAAAGAAATCTCTTCAAGACATGTCAACCATCAGCACGCATGTGATTGGTATGCACCACAGCAACAACGTCTTGTGAGCCTCCAAGCGCTGATTCAAAGAAAAAGGCTCTAGCCCCGTGAACTTGCCTTTCTGGCTTGGTTGACAACAAACACGCCCCTCGTCAAGGTGTCAAACATGGCCTTGGCATCAACAACCAGGTAAGAGTTGACCTTTGCGGCTGTGTCTTCGGCCGTCTTGGTTTGGATGTAGTTGCCAATCATCTCGCGCCATTCCAGCCGGGCGAGGAAGAGCTCCTGCTCCGTGTCCGCAGGGACTGGGGCTCCGCCGAGAGCAAACTCCTAGCCACCCTTTGAAGTTTGCCGCTCTTCCAGGCAACAGGGTTCACAGGACCGAAACCGGACTCCAAAGACTGCTGGCGCACGAGGCCCACAATGTGTCCTCCAGCAGATGAAAAATCAGGGCGGTTTGCAAGGGAAGCGTCCGACCAACTGATCATGCAAACTTGTTTGTTCGGGTTCATCAGCTGCCAAAGACTGCACTTCCACAGAAAAACTCCGTGAGGCGTAAACTTCTCCCACAAGCTTGTCTGTTAACCTGTTCTACGATAGACGAGCCCGTCGCTGCAATCAAGGACTGCAAGTGGTTGAGCTTAGCCGCACGCTGGGGCGCCGTCTGGTAAAGTCGCCACTGCGCGCTTCCGAGGATGCCCGTGCCTGACAAGCCTCCTTGTAGGTGAGTTTGCGACGCCAACTCATCTGCTTGAGCTCCTGACAAGAGGCGGTATGGTCATGCGCGACGCTGTAGTCAGCGTGCTGCATGATGGACACACCACGTTGAAAGCTCCATACTGCCAGCGTGACCACTCGTAGGCTCGGCAAAACTCATGTAGGAAAGTCTTCCACACCTGGGAAGACGGCCATCAAGAAATCATCCAATAGAGCCTGTGGAAGGATCCCGAATCCGCCACACACAGCTGTCTGTAGTAAGACGCTCAGCTCCTCAAGACACCAAAGCGCGCTGGACATCTTCATACCATTCACGGGGAGCACTCGCCAAAACACACACGGACTTGAAAAGCTGAACTGGTTGCCCGTCTTTCAACCCTAAGACCCTATAGGGCCTTGCTAAGTTCCCGAACTGGAGCCGCAAAAACGCATCGATCAGCTTGAGGCGAACGCGCCCGTGGAGGAAGGCACTCTCCACATCCTTGCACACGATGCCCCATTTCTTGACTGCCGACATGTTGAGCAACAACAGACGCGTCAAACGAGCACGGAGAACGGTGTTTGCCTCCAGGAGATTAGGATCTGGGTATCCCAAAACCACAACGCTAGCTGTAGCTTTAACGCGGCCCTGCTGGTTTCCGCCTTTGGCATGGATTAAAAAGCTCTGCTAGACCGAAAAATCTCTATCTTCCTGCGAACAGTTCCGAATGAGCGCTCAACTTCACTTATCCCTTCGTGATATTCTGCAGGCACCACGCCAGGCTCGATGCCTCGGGAAAGTCTCCAAGGTCCAAACCACAAAAGGCACCCTCAAAGTCGAGCTTCACCTTCTCAGGGAGGCCAAGCACCTTGCACCGGCAGCACAGCTCCAAAGTCTTGATCATCTGGGCGGTGGTCATATTGAGTCATATGCTTCAATTTCCTTCTCAGGACGGCGAAGCATTTCCTCAATCACACAGAACCCTGAAGCCTCATCCAGAATGAGAAGACAATGGAAAACTTCTTGCCCAAAGCGCGTGTAGAAGCCATCAATCTGAACAGTGCACCACAACCGCTCATCTCGATTCAGGCTTGTAGAAGGCGAAAATTTCACATCTGATTCTCCGCGCACACGTCACACTTGAACTCTGAGGCCACAGCTAACAGCTTAGGCGAAGCACCAATGGAACGAAGGTTCTTGACCAGCAAGCTGTTTGAGGGGCGCCCAAACATTCGGTGAAGCTTTTGCACTATGTTTAGCAATTTCGTGACACCTTTCAAAGTCTCCCGGGCTGAGGACGTGGTGTAGATGGATATCCTCCTCATGTAGCACAGAAACTCCCAGAAGATTCAATATGGAACCACAGAAAGCCTTACACAGGTGACAGTGACAAACAGGATGATCCTGCACGGCTTGGGTGAAGCTGACACGCGAGCAATCCATGTACACACATCAAGAAGAAGTTCGAACTGGTGTGATCTCCGCATTGCCACTCGAAGGATTTGAACGCCTTTCCTGCCTCCGCCAGCTGCTGCCAAAACTGGCATGCTTCTGAATCTCGCCAAGCACTCGAATCACTCGAACGCGAATCTGAGACCCACAGAAAGTCTCCATGTTGCAGCTGGGTTGAGACAGGGAGATTGTGCGCCGGATCACCTTACGAGGTTTCTGAACTAACTGCCGACGCTTGTTATCTTCTTGGTTCTCTTCACACCTGGGAGGCCCTTTGGCAGCTGAAACCAAACCAGGCTGGGCGGTAGACTTTCAAGTTCTTCCGACCTCGGTGGCAACCTCCTTGCGCGCCAAGATCATAACCCAGCAAGCTTGGCAGCAAAACCGGACCCACCTTGTTGCCCCAAAAGAGAACAATGATGGCTGTCTGCAGGACCACCGAATGCCACAGCCTGGACAGCACGACGATCTCTACCACGCACATCTGGACGGCTGTTCAGAGTTCAGACGTCGAACATCCTGATTTAACAAAGCAGATCACACCCACATTCACATCCTCAGCCTCCAGGCACTTCGAAGAAAAGGATGGCAACCTAGGCAGGGGAAATCCAAGCTTGTATCTGCATCCTTCACTCACCTGGGTGCGTAGTAGGTCGCGGAGGGAAGCTTTGCCAACGGTCCGTTGCATGAAGGGGATTTGGAGAGAAAGGCGCAAACCTGGGAACTGCCCACAACATTACGCACATCCACGTGGACCCGAACAGGCTGATTCACAATCGCCGCAAAACTCGTCCAGCACGAGACAATTCCTGAAAGATAGCGTTTGCTGAAGAGGTTTCAAGTACTTGCAAATCTGAGGAAGATCACGTGAGCCGCGAGCTCCGTATAGCGCTACGCATGTTGCCGTAAGAGTAAAGACCAAAAACCACACAGCCGCTCCCTTTTTTATCCAGGATTCATCGATGCCTCTGACACAATACCTCTCTAACAATCGAAAACTGGTAGAGCGGCTTCTCACACGCCGCAAAGGAAATGCCTGGGCGTGCGCAGACTTCCCCATCTCAGCCACGGCCGGAGTGTCTGGGCCCAGGTCCATCACCCCAGGTTCTGGGCTCGCGGGGCATACTGATGCCCTGCAGAGATTCTCTGGCGGCACTTGTTCCCAAAATTCTGAGACATCTCCTAAGAGCCTAGACCTTGCTCTGGCGGTTGATAGTTGATAGCATCCACACTCACTACCTCGGCTAAACCCCGCAGAGGGAGCAACTGAAGCTGGCACCGAAAGAGAGGCGCGGTCGCAATGTTGGGTGCACTCTTGCACTTCACCTTCGCTTTCTGCTTGGCCTTGGCAATTGCCTTCTCTGCCGCAGCTCTCATCTTGGGGCTGAGCGCGTTCGGCGAAGGTTTCTGATGACCTGGTATGGATCTGCAGCTTCGCTCGAAAACAATTGAGGGGCGTGAGGCTCACTACCAAGGGATCATGAGACATGTTGGGCTGACACACTGGGTCGTCAGGGGAAAGCAGAAAGAGGGCTCCCTTGTTTTCTGCGTCTGCATAAGCATCCGACTCTACGGCAAAGATTCCAGCAGTTGGAGAAAGAAGCGAAAAGCCAGCTGTCCTGCAGCCAATTGCGAATAAGATCCGACAGCAAATGCTTTGAAGCTTCACCCCAACAGTTGAGTCGAGAGCAGCGAACACAGCCACGTCCCGGTAGCACTCCAAGACGGTCAAGCCCTGAGCGCACGAATCCCCAAACGAATAGGCACTCTGTCTGCGTCCACAGCGAGATCGACTCTAGCCTCACCTAAATCTTGCGGTATGAGAACGTGAGATAGTGAGAGCCCGACGGATCCATTGCCAAAGCAGAACTTTCTTGGCGGTGTAGACGAAACCTGGAAAGAATCCTGGGGAGTCTTTTACTTCGTATAGCGGACCCTCAGTAAGTCTTTGACTGCCAAGCAAGAGGGAACCAACTGTCTCAGTAGCTCCGGAATCATCAATCACAGCGTGACCGCGGTGGGACCCTTCAGTTCCTGACGAAAAAGCGTCTCCCGCAGATTGCAAACGAAGAGCTAGGGGTCCCCAACGCGTCTACTACACACCCCGAGTCTAATGGAAACTTCGGATTAAAGATCCCCTGATTAAAGGCGCCCGGCGCGCAGGGATTGGCCGACCCCCCCCCTTACAAGAGGCACAAGCCTTGAGAAAACCCCCCTAGGCTAAAGCCGATCTGCGTCTCTGGTCCTAAAATTTGGATTCAGGAAGGCTGCCTTGCTGCTTGCGCAAAGCAAAACCTGTTTTCCAGCGAGCAGCTCTCACAGATGCCCTTCTACCATCAGGCGACTGTATCAGAAAAGCTAACGCCACGATGTGGTGATCAATTGATTAATGAGGGTCTTTGAACGAATCACTTGCAATCATGCTCCTGCAGCGGCCTCTAGGTCACGATATTCGCAAAATCTGGAATGGTAGCCTGTTGGCAAAGGTCCGCTAGCCTTGCCCTCCCTGGTGTGTGTTTGGATGGTTGCGTCGAACGCAACCCCTTTCCTTTGCGCTGTTATTACCGAGCTGGAAAGTAATGGAAAATACTTTTTGGCAAAGGCTGAAAGTGGGATCTGAACCTCTCGGGTGTGTTTTGGACGATATTCTTTGCCTGTTGGCAAAGGTCTCTTGGCCAGCCGCGCATTTTGCCTGGAAGGGCGGTCCATGCAACTGGGCCTCAGGCCAGCCAGAGACCTCCCCCCCCAGCGGTTGTTGAGCCTGTGGACAACCACTGGCGTGAAGAGACACAAAGCCACCACCACACGCAGACTGAGGACATGCACTTCTTTGTTTCACCGTGTGGAAGTGGTTGTCCTCGCCGTGGGCCACCACGGGGCGGGGGTCAGACAGACGCCTGGCCAGGAAGGGCGCAGGAAGGCAACAGAGCGCGGAAGCTCCACCACCGCCCATTGTTGGGCAGAGGGCAGCGGAGCATGAAAGCTCCACCACCGCCCGGCAGAGCAGAAGCTCCGCCAGGAAGGGGCACCCGAAAACAGCGGAGCGCGAAGGCTCCGCCACCGCCAAGCTGAGCAGCGCAGAACCTCCTGAAACTCTGTAACAGTAATGGTTTAGGAGTTGTTGTCATGGTCCAAAAACACACGCAATGCTTCAATCGAAATGACTCATTCATTCGCAACATACGGCCGACATGGCTCAAACACCCGACGCACAGATAACAACACTCAGGAAGTCAGTATGTTTCACTACCTTGGGGGTGGCTTTTGGGAAATCCATCAGCAAGACCAGCTACCTTGGGCGGGGGGGGAAGGAGGGGTTTATTAATCCAAGATTCCCATCTAAATTCCAACATGCCTGCCCGAAGAACCATGCTCCTTGACACAGATCCCAAGGTCCCCTTGCGGGGAGCTGCCCAGCTAGAACACCGCCAGAACGGGCGTCGGAGAAACACGCGCTGGCCCAGGTTTTCCTTTGCCCTTTCCTTTTCCTGTGAAGCGGGGCTTGCCTTGGAGGCCTGGATTGACATGATAAGGCGCCCGGCTCTGTTTGTCGGGCCTGACCAAAAGTGCGAGACGTGGCATCGCCAACAGCAAAGGAATCTTCTTTATCCCGCCCTGCTTCAGAGGACCCTGCAGCACTATGTCTTCCCAATCACTCCAAACCCAGAACATTCCTGCCATTCCTGAATGTAAAATTCTCCATAGTCTTCAGCCAGCTCCCAGTAGGAGTAGGCTCCGTCGTCATCTTGACGCCAGAAACCCATCTGAAAGCGTGGCTGTAGTTGCCCCCTCTTGCTGCTCCAAAGCCAACGGCTAGGCTTCATTCCCCTTCGTCTACAATCCAGAAGGATTGCCTGCAATGATTTGGGCCTCGGCTGGCCTTCGCCTCATCATGCACCATCAGTTAGTTCATCTTACATAGACCTCATCGCTCTTTCGATGTCCGAGAACATAAGAGAGTTGCCAGCAGTTACCTGAATCGATAGCATAGCGGAAGTGGGCAGGTTCGCACGGGGCAGCAGAGGCCAACCAAGCACTCCCAAAGGAAGCACTTCTTAGAGGCCTGCCTCGTAGCGATCCCAAACCTCCAGATCTTTCAACCTGTCTGTGTCAGACTCGTCATTAGCATCGTATTTCCTTTTTCCACGACGCTTCTTCCAGTCCTATCTGGCATCCAAGCCGTCGTCCATGTCAGGCTCCTCACCAACATCTTCACTCACTGGAGGGATCGTCTTTTCCCGACGGGGCTCACCCTGGGTCTTTTCACTGCTTCTGTCAGTTGGCGTTCCTGGAGCTGGTTGGCGACGAAGGATTCGAAATTGTTTTCTTATTAGTCACACTTGCTCGGCCAGCAGCATCTTTGGCGAAGGGATTTGGTCCTTTCGAGCGCGATGAAGGGCCATCACTTGAGGTCTGCCGAACCTGAGAGGCCCGTGTGGACATTGCCATCCCTTGAGGTCGTCGCAGCTTGACGATCACCTCCTCGAGCCGTATCCCCATGTCCGGAACGGGACTCCTGCCAAGGCCATGTCGCAAGAACTAGCAACTACACAGCACCATCTCGTCGAGTCAGCTTTGCATGATCGAAATCTTGCGTCATCACCCAGGCTCGGTCATGGGCTGCGAAACAATCAAAGGACCCAGCTGCCGGCGCTTTTTCCTTTTTGTCTTCTCATACAGAAGGCGAGCGCAACGGACAAAATCCGTCCCTCCTGCTGGATCGCAATCCCAACTGCGCTTAGCCAATGCGTTATCGAAGTCTATGTCCATTTTGTCTTGGAAAGAAAACGAGATCAGCTCACCAATGCTGCCTACAAACACAGAATCGCGGGGCCTGACTCCGCAGCCGCAACTGGACAATCTCTGCAGGTAGCCTCGGACCGAGCTCCGCTACCAGTATCGGTGAGTGGATGAATTTTCCTCCACAGAATCTCCCTGCTGTTATGATTGTTCCAGAAGTGCAGCCAAGGTCGTAACTGATGGAAAGCGAAGGGATCTTTTCTCTGCAGCCTTCCTCGAAAGTCTATGACTCCCCACATGCATCCGCAGTAGCCTAAGGCTAGGATGCGAAATCGAATAAGGCGTCGCAATAGGAGTACGGCGTAGCCTAGGGTTACCTAAAGCATGGGCCAACGGAGCTGCTGCGGAACACAACGCGGCACCTTGCAAGCACATGAAGGTGGAGGCATGTCAGATCTGCACAAGTCCTTTGACACATTGCAACCAGTGGAACACTAGTAGACAGCAGGAACAAGTAGCATCATGTTGCTGCGTTATCCATACGCATGCCGAAGACCAACACTGCTGGGCAGCATAGCATTATCAACCCTAGGCAGCATCATTCATGGAAAGCTTGGCATATCGTTCAAGCTGGCTTGCCCAGGTACTACGTACTTCGAGTTGTATGCTCGGTGCACCAACGTGAAGGCTGTGTGCAATGAAGCCCCACATCATACTGTTGAGGGCATCACCCTTTTGCCCAAAGACAGCGCGAATACTCAGCTAACACTGTTGTCCTAAAACAAGACCACTACTGTTCTCCGATACTCCCTACTACTATACCACTGACGCTACGTGATGATGGATCGACTACTGCTTACTCAGAGCGCCCTTACCACATTCCTGATAGTCTTTTGAGTAGACTTCGTGCAAGCAGCCGAGCCTGGAACATTGTATACGTTGCTCGGTAGGATGTGCCTGAGATGACCGGCTTTGCCAGCAGAAGTCTGAGAATCAGATTGCCGATGTGCAGGCTGCTTCAAGCTGAGGCTCCGTAGTGCTGCCAGATCCACTTTCGCATCTCTAAGTCTTGACCTCAGGGAGGAACTCCCGAAGCTGACAACAAGATCCCTCGCCCAACAAATGTTGGAATGACAACAGTGCCCGCACTGCCCCTTGGGAATCTTGTGCCTCCATCGTTGATGAACTCCATCACGAAGTTGCCGATCAACAGACCACCCAAGACCATGTAAATGGTCAAGAACAGCATGGACCAAAATCTGCCGAAGGAACAGCAAGGAAGCCAAATACAGGTCAGCTCTGGACAGACAAGCTCCCCAAGTGCCACCCAGGTTCAGAGACGGAAGGAAGGCACTCACTGCGGCCACCAGGACACGCAAACCAGAAAAGAGGCGCATCGTGCCTAAGATCATGGCAAGGCTGGAGCGGCTCAAGATCTAATCTCAAAGCAATCCTAGGTCGTAAGAGGTCATAAGGGTGGTGCGCATGACGCGGAGGGAACGAGTGAGCTTGAGGATGCGCAGGATCCGCAGCACAACCAGGTTGACACGCCCTCGGATCAGCTTTTTTCCCCTCTCACACCGCCTCCACAAGCCAAGGCAACTTCGCCCAAGTAGCCAGAACCCGCCAACGGCTTGATGATCAACATGTCCACCAGGCTCATGGCCTCAAATTGTCTTGCATCAGCCACCAAAAACAGAATATGCACAATGAGCCCTTGGGCCCGTTGCAACCAGAAAGGCGTCGAACACGTTGAAAACGTTGCGGAAATAGTTGGCTCTGTGGATCCACAGTCGGACCTCGCTATGCACGATTCTGGCATGGGAATTGGCAGAAGGAAGTCACAACTCAGAGGAGCGGTTCTGCTGATGCAGCCAGGGCACGCAAAGCTCCAGCAAAAAGACGACAGCAAACATCTGGCATGTGCAGGTCAAATGTCACTCGCAGAAGGCATCACTTGAGGCTTATTGTTGCGTGCCATCTGTCTCAGCAGAGAACGTCTAAAGGTCAACGCAAATGCATTGCAATCTAGCCCAGATACCCTTGACTCTCAAGCGGCAGGAGTCTCTGCAGCAGTGAATGAACTGATCGCAGCTTTGGCCAGTGAGTTGGGAGGCCGCTGTTCCCAGGGGCACCCTGATCACCTTTTCTGCCCTTCACTCTTGGGGCTCACACTTCTGAAAATGTCCACTGCAAGAACGAAACAGTGAAGCTGAACTTCCGATTACCAGAATAGTTCGTGCAGTGCTTAGTTGAAGGGTTCCGTCTTAGTCCAAAGACTTCAACGAGCTTGCTTCCAGCACAGCACGCTTGGTGCCTCCTCGATGGTAACGAACACATCCTGACCAGTGATCTTCTGTAAGTTCAGATTCGCAAGATAGCTGCCAGCTGTTTGGATAGGAACATGTCAAGTAGAGTTAAAGAAAAGGGAGCTGCAAGCTTGATCTCACATGCTTTCCCGAAAAGCTTGCTCGCAACATTGCGGGTGTCTGAACCAACCGACATTTTCTTTGGCAGGAGGAGTTGTAGTGACCCACATACCTCTACATCCTCATTCCCCCAGGTGCGAGGGCTGTTGAAGCAGCAAGCATGAGCATCATGGGTATTACTATTGTATTCAGCTGAAGTGCGCTGTCAGTACTCACCCACCAGCGCCAATGAAGGTGCGCAGCACACGTGAAACGCACCGGAACTCAGGCATTACTGTGTCATGAGGTGGTATGCCCGGGAGCTGTCGGCCTGCATGTTCATCGGGAATCCACGGAACGGCTTCACCAAGGGCATGTCAAGCATCTTTCAAAGCTTCGATTACCCGATCTGCTTGTGGTCTCCCAACTTTTGACCATGAAATTGTTTTGGTGGATGACTTGTCTGAGCGGGTCACCCTGAAAAAGTATGTCTCAGAATGGTTTGAGCTGCCGGGCAGTCTTGATTGCCATTGCGATTTGAGTATTTACTTCTGCTGTGTCCGTCAAGACTTTCCTTGGCACCTTTGATCCATCAGGAAATTTGATTCTTGAAAGGCGCCTGTTGCTAGTAAGGTGTATGCATTTGATATATTTAAGTTTCATGTTGTAATGCCAGGGTTCTGTTTCCATGGCAGCCAAAGCTGGTTTATGGCAGGAAATTTAAGCGCATCATCTGTGTGGACAATTTCTCACAAGCATGCGTGCACCCGTGTCAAGGTTGTGGCTTTAGGAGTTGAGGCGGCGGTTGAGGTCACCGTGTCTTGGTTGCTGATACTGCTATCTGCGGTGTAAAGTTGTTGAAGGCCCGAGGGTTTCTGGGCGTAAGGGAGACCGCAACTGCACGGGGCTGGGGTGGGCCACAACAGTTGTGATGCTTGCATTTTAGGCGTCCGCACACGGTTGCGGGTCTAGTAGCCTGAGTATGCGTCATGTCTGACCTTGGCTGGGCAAATTTGATGCGCTTTTTTGCGTGAGGTTGGCATTGTTGGCGGAGGTGACCAATGTCGTGAGTCATCATTCCACGTCAAGGACGCTAGTCAGACGGTTTGGGTTGAACCGCTCATGCCAGGCCGAGGCGGTGTGCTCCGCAGTTAAAATCACAGTTTGCTTGACAACTTTTGCTTTGGCCTATGAAAAATGCTCAGCATGTTTGCTTTAGGCCTCAACTGCACGAATGGCTTCGGAGGTTGGAAAATACACTTCCATTGACTTGGTCGGCAATTGGCGAAGGTCCTCGGAAATGGAGAGGCCATCCATGCCCGGGTCATACTCCCCGATATCTCTTGCAGCATCATATCCCATCTGTTGGTGCGCCAGCATCATGACCTTGTGGCTCAGGCACGACAGGACATGAGACTGCTTCGCAGCTATGATTCTTATTCTGGGAATGACTATTTAATTATTGTTGTAATTACTATTGTTACGCTTATATTCCTTCGTTCTTGTTAGTACTAATGTTCCTATTGGTGATGTATTCTATTATTATTGTTATGATTCTTGTATTGTTCCTAGTGTTGCTATTGGCAATGGACATCTGCAGTGCAAGGTGATTAGGTGCCTGGCCACGGTGTTCAGGCAGATAAAAACTCCCACACCAACATCAACGACCCTGCAAAGAGCAGAAGTCAACTTAGGGATTTACCCTTTTGGGGTGGGTCCCTGTAATAAGGATTCTGGTATTTGGGGGTCTATATTGGGTTCCTTTTATTTTGGAGAAACTATCATTTACTTTCTGACTGCCACGCACAAGCTGGGGGTTATCTGGGCAGAGATGCAGAAACAGGAGGACAGGCTAGACAACGATGAACCTGATAAAGCTGCCAGTGCTCATTACAAATGCTTGCAGCTTTGGCCTGCATCAAGGGGCTGTAAATCCATGTCAGGTTCATCGTGCTCTAAAATGTCTACTAAGGATCATGGCCACCGTCAGCAAGCTACGGAGGATGCTGATCGAAAACCTTGAGGCTAGTCTTACAACCGACTGGCAAGGTAGGATTTTCTTGCTTCCAATGCATCGCAATCTACAGACAGCTCTTACGTGAGAACATGCAAGGCCTGGCAGCAGGGCATTTAAGTCTTGGTTGAATCTCATAGCAGCTCTAAGATTACGTACACTTGCCGTTGATTTTCATGAGCCCACTGGCATCACAACTCAGCAGTACACCTTCGCTCAGCGCGCGCCAGCTTGGCTCCTGAGTTGCAGGCAACGTTGAACGTCCGGTGTTTGTTACCATTTCTTGATGTCTCCAGCTGAGGTTCTGGTGTACCTACAGAACTTCTGCAAAGCGCTTCCGGTTGGCTCCTGCCAAGCTTCATGTTCTGCTTCACGCGACGAACATGCCAACTTGCCGCGTCCTCTAGATCCTTTTCAATATGACGGATCTCCATCTCCTCTGCATCCTCATCGTCATTCATCTCCAAGTCAACCGACTCCTGCTGCAGTGTGGATAGATCCGCCTTCAAATAGCCACACTTTCAAAAGATTCAAAAGCCTTGTCCGAGTACTCGGTCGGATTGCCTGCGAAAGCCCATACTGTCAAGCTGGCAGGTTTTTGGTGACGGCTGCGAGTTACAAATGTGAGGCGTGTTTCCAAGAGTGGCCTGATTGAGTGTGGTGGGCAGAAGACACCTACTGCTAAGATCCACAGCAGATCTGGCTTTCAGCAACAAGGCAAGAATCACAGATTATGGTCTTTGGCAGTCTTTGGCAAGGTCGTTTGTCCTGCATGGACTTGGAAGCTTCCGCTACGTTGCTGGACTTTACAAGGTTCTCTTTTACTTTCCTCAAACTGTTCCCCAGCTTCCAGGTTATCTTCCGCTCGATGCCCTTGGTTGTTCAAAAGCTTCCCTCCCTGAGTTTCTAAGCTTTCAGGCCTCAAGGCCCTGTGAAATCCTGCGAAGTGTCAGGAGAGGGAAAGTTGGGGCTGCACGGATGCCCTGCGCGCGTCCTCCCTGCACTATGTGCTCGGACATGCTGCAGCTGCTCAACGTAGTGTTACTGGGCTAAACACTCAAACAGACCATGCACCCGAACCAAAAAAAAACTGATTTTACGAAGTTGAAGCTGGCACAAACATCAAAAGACAGCCGAGATGCTTCCACGACTTACTGCGCCAGGGTTGCCTGTGGGTGAATTGCACGCATGCGGCCCAAAGGGTGCGCTGCATGACTTCCAGTGCAGCCATGCCTGGATCCTTGTCTGCCTGGCCGAAAGCTTGGCTGTGAGGCATTGGCCGTTTGCTGAACAAGAAGCACTTGTCTGCAGGTTGCTCAGGGCCTCCTGCAACACGGCGACTGTGTCGACGCCACTGTCGCCATGGGCCTGTGATGCTTTGTGCAACCACGGCACTGAGGGGCTGGTTGCCCAGCCTGCAGAAAATCTTCTTCGACTGAGTCGATGAGCTTCAACCAACTCCTTGTCTCAGCTTGCAACACTTGCAAAATCCCCTGTGGTCGTTCTGGATTTTTGCAAGGCTCTCATCCAAAGCCCGTCGCAGATCTTGACGGAGTTGGAGCAGTCGCTCCTTTAGCCTCATGTTGACTCGTGGAATGGTAGCTCGGTCTGGCCTTTGCCCAGCATTTTGCCCCTTTGATACATCTACTGGCTAAGAGATGTAGCACAGTGCCCACTATGCCTTCCGTGCCCATTGAAGAGACAACTTTGCACCAGATGGAGCTGCCACATCAACCTGAAGCCAAGCCTCAACCCAGCTGTGTCAAAAGCCCCAACGAAAGTCAGCTGAGCTTCACTTGCTCCATGTGTAGAGCTGCCACGTCATCCACAGAGCCATTTTCCAGCAAAGATGTAAGCCCGGCACCTCAACACAGCACTAGCCTTCTGCCACCACTGCATTGAATGGCAGCACATCCTAGGTTACCCTAAGCAACAAATTTGAGACAGTTGCATCTGCTGTTGGCTTGTCAGCTAAGTGGCCATCTGCAGCCTCCAAAGTCAGTGGCGGAGGACGCAGCAGTGCATTTTGTGGCTGGACACTGGGAACCGGCATCGGCTCCGAGGCTAATTCACCGTGAAATGTTACTCGTGCTTCTGGATTGCAATGAATGCAGGTCTATGAGAGCTTCTGCCAAGCGCAAAGCAACCGACTCTGCGCTGAGCTTACATCACCTGTATTACGTTGGCACATTCTTAGCGCATTGCAATTGAGTCATTGAGCGAATGGTTCGTGATGAGATTCAGTTTCTGTTGCCTGCCTGAATACATGGCACTCTCATCTTCTGCGCTGCTGAAATCTGCTAAACCATGAGAATCTATGCCAGCCATGCATCCCCGCCAAATTCTCCCAACAAATTCCATGCTCCAGAATCCCTATCTTATCGGCCTGGCTGCGCGGACATCCTTTTACCTGCAGCATGCTGCAGATGCGCCCCAGCATCATTGATCCCATCTTGTGAGAGACGTTTTGAAATTGTCGGGAGCCGCAAGACTCGATCACAACAGTCCCGATCGCAAGTGACTATCGAGAGCACTTGAAGGATGCACAACCACTTTGAGCTGGCATCTTGCCTTGCAAGCAAGCGTGACACCCGTGCATGAAGCCCTTCTGGTCTTTCTGACCCAACGTTGCAACATCTTGCAAGCCTAAGCCCTCCAAGTATTGAGGGTATCATTTCTCTGGCTTTGCCAAGTTCTCTGTCAACAAGCCATTTAATTTGTTTGATAAAATTCTGCTAAGGTCGGTACATGTTTGGCGAGGGGCTCGCGATACTACGCAGGCAGCTTAAAATGCTTGACAGGGATCGAAAAATCGCGGCACGGATTTGAGATGAGCTGTTTGAACAAAACGGTCAAGCAGTCGACAAAGGTTGAAATAGGTTGAAAGGGGAGACAACTAGGGCAGCATGCGAGAAGGTTGGGTACAGCTACTTCGAGCTGGCACACTGGCAGGGCTCGGCATGATGTGAAACACACATCTACCGCACTCCTTGTTCCCGCTTGTCTTTTGGGGAAGAAACGCTAGCCAGCTTTTGGGGCCCTCTAAACATTTATTGCGTGGGAAACTTGTCTGCTTCCACAAGGCTAAGCCGCAAGAAGGCTGGCAAGTTCCTGGCACGATGCTTGCAAGGGGATCTTGCTGAGGGGTCACCCGGTCTGTCCGACCGAGATCCTGAAACCGGGACCAGTCCTCCCGGTCGCTGCACTCGCCGTCGCTAGCTCCAGCCTTTGCTAGGAAGTGTCATAGCACAGGCGTCTGAGGTATAGGCAGGCCAGGCGAGAAACACGATGCTGCGTGACTTAGATTTGAACAGTGCAAGAAACTGTTTCACTGGTCCTGGGACGAAGCGCAGCCAGTGCCATCAGCGTTGCAGCGATCCCTTCCGCCAAGCTCTTGCCACGTGTTGCCAGCCACGCGCCCGAGCTCGTGTGAGAAGTGTTCTTTGCTGGTTGAAACGAATGAGATCTCTCTCCTTCTTTAAACCACTGTACGTACTTGAAAGGGAGATAGAATCATTCATACGCTCCATGGCGACCATGGAATTCCCATTACATGTGCTACTATCCATGTGAAGGTTGCCCCGGATTCGCGCCTAGCGTAACCCACAGAGCCACATGATCCTGGCAGGCAGTAGAAGTTTGCAAGACAGATGTCTCAACTTCTTGCGAGCCCCCAAAGGTCACATCTGAAGCTACTTCAGTCATGTCCTGCCGCAAGAAAATTTGCAGCTGACTATGTTCACATCATCATGTTCCACCCTAACGCTTCACGCTTAGCCCCAGCCCCTGTGGTTCAATGCTGGGGCTGAAGGTGGCCCCTTGTCAGTGCAATCTATCCTGACATGAGAGTTTCCCAAAATGGGGGGCCCCTAAAACCCCAGGGATACATAGGGATGACAAGAAAGGATTGTGGGGCTCCGTTTTAGGAATTATGTTACGGTGGTCATTTGAGAAACTCCAGCATGATCCAGACTTGGAGAAACCAGCTGGCAAACCAGAGTCCTCTGCAGGCACTGAAAGATGATCGCCATCCTGGTAGACAGATGGGACAATGTGACAACGACACGTTCCCGCCACCATGTTCCCGCGCGCGATGTTCCCGCGCGGGTTGGGTCTTCGGAAGAGTCATAAGATCACTGAGGCATTGGTAGTCTTACAGAATGCCAAGTCCCCTGCATGTCAGTCTCTTGGCCTTGTATAGCCGCGATGAGAATGGAAGATGCATCCCAAGGAAGCTGCCTGTGAGACTGCAAGTCACACCCGGCGCTTTCCAATTCCTCACTTTGATCGCATCAGCTGTCTTGATCTCCACAACCTATAACAACCTCAAATCCTGAACCTCCCTGCAGGAAGAGCCTCCGCCCATGCAAACGCCGTTGCTTGCACAAACGCCCTCAACGCATTGGCAGACCTGAACTGCCAAATCAATGATATGACAGATTGGGCCATTCGTGACGTGTCATTGGGGGCCCAACTCCTGTGCCACCGAACGGCGTCGACAAGTCCGCACAGGTGGTTTTGCCGCGGTCAGCCCTCGAATCAGGCTTGAGAGGTAGCACGTTCACAGAAAGGCACAACGTCAATGCACTGCTGGAGCAACATGTCGCAGGTGGCATGAAGATTCAAAGGACTACAAGGCAAAGGCTGACGCTTTGCAGGTAGCCGAATATGAATAAATCTTTTGGACTGGGAGAGTATCCAGATAGGCAGCAAGGTGATGAAAAACAGCCAAGCTCCGCACCGACACTCACCGACTCCCGGTAGAAAGTATGGGCCGAACATAATGCAGCTCGACTGCCTTTCGCAAGCAGGTTGCTCACACCCACCGTTCTCGGCAACTTTTGCTTCGGTGCCGGGCATGCAGCAGCGATCCGGAACTTGCGAACAGCTCGGAGGCGTTGCTGGGCACGCGCATGACAGAAATTCTGTGCGGAGTCTGCGCTGGCAGTTCTATTGCAAATGTAACACGTGACTATAATGCTCCCCAGCAAAAGCAGATATCATATTGCTGAAATTGTGTTTGCATCTCGCCTTGGTAGAGGCTACAGGTTCCTGACGCTGCCCGGAAATTGAGCAAGGGCACGATGCTGCTCTGCAAACTCCTTCGGGCAGAGAAACGGCAACCTCAGCTGGCAGCAAGGTGCAGCAAGTTTGCTTCGCAATTTGGGAAGGAGGCCATCAAAGCTGAAAAGTAACAACCAGCTGAGGTTCCCTACAAAGAGTGACAAGGAGCGCATCAGTAGAAGGATTGGTTCACGCTGGCGGTTTGGTTTGCCAACATCTCGAGGCAAGCAATCGAAGCCAACAGCTGTCCGGCTTTTTGGCGCTTGGGATGAAAGACAAACATGTCACGTCCACAGCTATAGGCTATAGGTATACAAAAAGCCCATATCACTCCACTCGCTCTTTCATGAGCACAGCTACTTTACTATAGGCATACATAAGCCAAAATTACGCCAGGTGACGTTTCATTCTCCATGTTCTGTTCCATTTCGATTCTGTGTCATTATTCTGAGGAACGAACCAGGCCTTGCTGGAAGCTTCTCTAATTATAAGCAGGTCATGGGGGGTCCTTGCTGGGGGTTCTTTTGAGACGATTTTTAAGAAATACGCGCCTTAAGTCCATCAGCCAGACGGCGGCGTCTTGCTGCAGAACTCTGTCATGTCGAAGGTCGGAAAGGGAGTCTGCATCTCAGCCTGAAAAAAGCTTGTGGGCACCCAAAGGAAGGGCAAAACTACTCGACTCTACACGCTCAACGGTAGCGAGGCCATGATATGGGAGTTTCTCAAGATGACCCTTTATTCTCTCTTGTTAATAAGGACCGCCATTCTCCCCTCATAACCATTGTAACCCCTCTAATTCCCCAGGTTCCCACGCGCTGCCCTTTTTCAGAAGCTCCCATATGCCTTGAGAAGCTGCCCTCTTGCGGTGCCCTGCATGGACTCAAAATTCCTGCCACTAATCAAAATGCGGAGAGTCAACTGGAAAATGAACTGAAAACCACTATAAGCCAATGCTCAGTATTCATGTAGAACCGCTCGACTTACATCACAAATGGTCTTTCTCTTTGCTGCGAAACCTGGGGGCAGGCAAGTTGGAAGCTGGGACACCAAGAGAAGGGGGGAGGGACGGATTCGCGGTAGCTGACGAGGGACCAGAAAAGAAAGCCCTGCACATGCCATGAACTATGCATGCAAAAGCCGCAAGCTCCGCCAGGGCCAGATTTCGTGACGGACCAATCCAGACATGTTCAAACACTGTTATGTTACAGCATTTTATAGCTGCCTGCCTGCACAAACATGAGGAGCTTGAGGGTCAGAGTCAGCGCGAGAGCCTCTATTGACTTTCAAGTTTCCAAAGGCGGGGTGGCCTCTCCATGCACAGAGGACACCAAGCAACCGGTCTCATGGAACCTAGACTTGCTCTGCTACCCAAGAAGGTAGAGTCCATGTCTGACTGTACTTGCAGATTCCAAAGGGATGCCTGCATCCCCATGACGCCTACAATGTGCCAAGCTAACGGTTGCCTGCTATTCTCTTCTAAGAAGCTTCAGGCATCAACGACTTAGGTCGCTCGCAATGCAAGGCCCCTGCCAACTCCATGGACGGATTCTAGGGGCGACATCCAGGCCAGCAAAACATCCAGCAATGACAATGACAAGTTGTGATAATCATGCCCTTCCTTCCCTATCTCTTGCAAGTCATGTGGCGGCATGCCATGCGTTACTTGCTTACCGAAGTCGCTCTAGGTTCTCAGCACGCAGCATCAAGGACTGTGAACCCTAAACTTTAAACCTTGACTGCGTGGTCGGTCTGTGTTCCTTGGAACCAAACCGAACGAAGCCTGTATGAGCATAGTAGTTTGCACGTCATCTCCCATTTGGGTTTCCATTTGACCAAAAAAATTGCAAGCACTTGCTTTCTACATTGAGCAATGATTGAGGCATTGCATATGGTTGTTTCTCGAAGTGGACTCTCTAGAATCCCAAATAGGGACCCTACTAGTCTCTTTGTAATCCCTACATCTCCCTAGGGTCCCTGAGGGCCACTTTGAGAAACCCCTATATTGGCTGTCTGACTTGCAGCGTCTCATACGGCTTCCGCATCTTCGCACACAGCATGCCACATGCCAAACTATTGGAGTTTCTCGAAAAAGCGTACCCACAAAAAATCCATGGATAGAGAGTGATCATAAAGGCAATTCTGGGAGTGCCTATAGGGATTATAGGAGGATCATTTTGAGAAACTCACAAATGATCCTGTTTTCGCCAGTTCCATAGCCCAGTTATCTTGAGCCTTCCAGGAAGATGGACCACTCTCAGCCGCCACCAGCCGGCTGGGATGCCATGTCTATTATCCTACAGCTGCCTGTAGCAGACGAGCTGTGTTCCAGGCTGACCCGGTCTCTCGTGCCCTCTTTGCTTCTGAAATCCCTTCTTCAGACAGTGCAGTGCATCTGGACCGGGGCCTCCCGTTTCGATAGCCGTGCATTGAACCATTGTGTACAGAAGCCGCTTTGATCTCAGAGCCATCATTGGGCCCCCCAGGCTTTTTCACAATCAGGTCTGTACATGACGTTCGTCACCTGCAGGGTGGCCACAAATGGAAAACCCTTACTCCAACGAGCACGGCCAAACTGAAACGCGCGGCACCTTAGGCTTGCAGTTCCTGAAGATGATGCGCGACAGCTCCTCACTGGCAGTTTCTGCAGAACAGCACGGCGAAAAGAAACATGGAAAGCTTGTTTGAGGTCCGGATTATTTGAAAGAGCCTTTGACTAAGCGGCATTTTCAGCATCTTGTGAACCACTGGTCCGGCGTTGATCACGGCATGCCAAGCGCGCACTAATTCACATGACATGCGTTGCCTGTCAGTTCTTGGCAAGGAGCCCTGCTGTGCAACCCTACAAGCAACGAGAACATGGAGCTTGCTGGTGAGAGGCCGCTGCCGTGCGTGCAGCACTCCGTTCTTTTACAGTGCGCGCTTCAACTCTCGGGCTGGTCACGTTCTGAGTGGCGTTGCCCGTCGTGCCCCGTATTTCTTTCAGTCTCCCTTCCGCTGGTTCCATTGCACCTCACGTTCCATTCCGTTCCCCATTCTGGTTTTCAGAGTTCAAATTTCCCCTATGCAGTTCTGGGAGTAGAAGCTCGAAGCTAAAGCCTACGGCAAACAAATGCATTGCAGTAGCTTCATCACGTGTGACTGTGTCGAGCAGCATCGGCGTGCACTTGCAGAAAACGGAGCAGTTCATCGTGCTGTGACTTCTGCACCTGCTCTGAACCATGAAATCCCATCAAATGAAATGTGGCCAAGTTTCCGTCTCCACATCACCAACAAAGTCGACTAAACCCACCCGCTGGGCCTGTCAGGCGACAAGTGCTACAGTTGCTACAGTGTAAAGCACGTGCTCAGGATCCAAAAGGCTTTTCAAAGTCAGACTGCAGCAAATGCACTAAATACCCACATCCCTGACAGCAACACTCGATCTTGCCAGACATTGGCACCTGGGGCTTACGCAATGTAGCTACCTGCGGCTGCCGTTGACAAGCAGGACTGAAAGAAAAGAAGTGCAGAGATGTGAAGGGCTGTCAAAATACTGCATCCCCTTTGGTTACCTTGTAATGGGGCCTCGAAAGAAAGGGAACATGATTCGGACAACCTACCATGTCCAAGTGAAGAACATGCCTTGCCTCCCTGGCATCGATAGGGAGGCCATCTGTAATCATCTTCCTGAAGGTTGGCGTTCTATTGACTGCTGCCCAGTCTGGCCAACTTCCTATGACTCCCAAGGTCGACTACGGCTTCGCATCAGAAGCTCCAACAGGCAGGGTCGGCCGAATGTAGTCGTCAGAAATGCGCTTCCGCATTGCAACGGTGACGCACTGCCATGCCAACAACGTCAGGAAAAGGACATGATAGAAGGTGGCGTGGCACGCCGCCACGTGACAAAGCTTGCCCGCTACAAGCAAGACGTCAACATGCCGAGGTGACAGCGGGCATGCCCCCAACGCGGACTTCGGGAAAGCCAAACGTTGCATCCGGCTCTGCAAGTGACACCTGGAAGCTTGAACTCTCAATCCTGTGAACTAAGCAAGGGTTTTCATGGGCTTGCTCAGGAAGGCACGTCCGACAAGGCTGCAAAGGCAACCGGCAGGCTGCGAACCTTGCTCCAGCAGGTGAACGCTTGGCATCACTATACAAGTCTGAGTTTGGCACGTCACCCTTTGCCACATTTACAATGTATGTGGGCCGCGAGTCCACAATCTGACAGATCCGACTTTCTTCACAGGTCTATGTCCACGATCTTGCGCCAGCAGCACGCACAAGATAACTTCAACTCCTTCATAGGAAGTGCCTCGCACAACTCCGAGAAGATTTCTTGCGCCATCATGTAATAATCCTTCAGATAGCAAGAAAGAAATCGATATCCATGGGGTTGGTCTGCTGCGGTCCTTGTCCCAGACCTGCTGCCCCAAGAAACGAAAGACGACCATCCCGGTGGAGACCTGGCAGCTGAACCCATTCGCCTTAATCGCTTCCCCCGAAGATGAAACCCCCCCTAATATTAAATGCGGGTTCGCCAAAAGTCCAAATCCTGAAATCTACCCCCAAGACTATTGGGCCAAGGCTAAGGTTAATTGTGGCTCGGATCCTCTGAATTAGGGGGTGTTTTAGCTCGAGTCTTACGCTAGATTTTGATTGTTCTTGAAGCATTTTTAGAAGAATAATTCCAAAAACAGATTCCAAGGCCCTAATTTGGAACAGTCCTTACGAAGGCCCTGATTTGAGAGGGTCCCTGATAAGGCCCTAATTTGAAATAGTCCCTAATGAGGCCCTCATGCGAATAATCTCCACTAAGGCCCTAATTTGAAATAGTCCGCAATAAGGCCCTAGTTTAAAATAGTCCCTAATGAGGCCGTAATGCGAAATAATCCCCACTAAGGCCCTGATTTGAAATGGCCCGTAGTAAGGCCCTAGTTTGAAAGGCCCTTAATAAGGCCCTAATTTGAAATAGTCCCTAATAAATTCCCTTACGAGGCCCTACTTTGAAATGGTCCTTAATAGGGCCCTAATTGTGGAATAGTCCCTAGTAAGGCCGTAATTTGAGCTAGTCCCTAAGAAGGCCCCTAATAAGGCCCTAATTTGAAATCGCCCCTAACAAGGCCCTAATGTGGAATAGTCCCTGTTAATAGTCCCTAATAAGGGCGAAATAGTCCCAAATAAGGCCCTAATCGGAAATGGTCCCTAGTTCCCTAAAAAGGCCCTGATTTGAAATAGTCCCTAAAGACGCCCTAATTTGAAATGGTCCCTTAATTATATTAAGATTTAATCGGATGCTGTACGATGTTAATAAGATTTCGATTACCCCCACTAATGTTCGGGTCGTGCGATAAATACCTCCCACCCCTAACGCCAAATATGCGCAGGAGTATTTACCTTAGGGGGGAGCGGGGGGAGCCCTTTAATATGGGGAAAGGATCATGTCCTAGTCGTCCCTGTTCACCATATCTCTTTTGCCGGGCCCACCAGTTGTTGAGCACAAAGGCTCTCACCGTTTGCCACCACGTTGCTGCATCTTGCAGATCGTCACAGATCTTTACAGCTCCGCTGCTGTACATGAGCGTAAGCTTTCAGCACAGCCTTGTTAAACAGCTCCATGCCGGAACGTGGGCAAGGCGGTTACACATCATTCGCGCTTGTAAGCTTGTTGGAAACCTGTGCAGGGCTACCGCGCGTAACAATTACATGAGCCTGCTGTGCAACTTGTGTCTTTACTCGTATACACCCTGACAGTTACTGATCTTCTTTGCACGTCATCTTGCAAACCAGGAAAGCCTCCAAAAGCCTCCAACATCATGCGCGAGTAGTGACATAAGGGCTCAGGCATACCTCAAGTGGGCGTGCCAATTTCCGGCTGCGCCAGCGACTCTCGACTCAAGCCGCCGCTTTGCCGGCCTTTTTCTTGGCCAGGTTGTGAAGATCAGCCAGCATATCGGCCTTAAGACAGCCAAGATAGTTGACCTCACTAGGCATGTACCGCTACTCGGATACTGGGGCTTGCAAAAGCCACGGTACCTCCCAGTCCTCGAAAATTTCTCCTGGACTGAAGCTTTTCGCCTTTCCAACTGGTTGCTTTGTCTTTTTGCCTAACAACTAAGCCAGCGCACAGCACAATGCAGTGGAATGGCATGTGACCATCTGCTATGCAAAGGCCTCCTGTGTCCTGATTGGTCTTTGGAGGAGGCTTCTCAGGAGCTGGAGCCACCTCACTCGACTTCAGCGCCAGGTTCACAGGGTTGCTTCCTGCCTTCTCTGGCCTAATTACCTGAGATGGTGTATACTGATGCCATGCCTCCTGCTTCCTTGTCAGCTCGGCTTCCTTTGCCCGGATACGTGATGCCATGTCCTGTCTGACAGGCGTCACATGCCTTGCCTGCAGTGACATCCTAAGCTTCCAGATTCCCAGCTCTCCTGCTGCAGGAACTTCTTTCTGGCCTGCAAAGGACTTTGAATTAAATCGCAATCTGAATCTCTGAGATAAACTCCAATTTAAACCAAAAAGGCATTTGGAGCAGAACCAACATATTGCACGTGTGAGTCTCATGCGTCAGTGGACTTCAGACTTCAGATCGTTTCCTCCTACACTGTGACCCATACTTCAACGAGCCTTTGAAGCTGTGCTGGCAGAGCTACCCGCCGCTCTCATGGAATCGACAAGCAAGTGCAAGGATCTAGGCTCCAACCGTCTCAGGTCATCTCTCACAATACTACATGCTGCCTGCAGTGCGGGCCGCCGGGGCAGGTATGGATAAACGGAAGTTGATGCGCTTTGAATCTGACCCTATCCAGCCTCAGCATCGTGCGCAGCTCGTTTTGCAGCCATGGTCTTTGCATTGGCAGCGCTTTCTCGGCCTTGGCAACTAAGTTTGTAGCCGCCTAGGCTCCACCTCTTGGGTTGTTACCCTGCAAACTGCATACAGGCTGTGGTCATCATGACGCCTGAACCCCGTGGCTTGCTGCGGACTTCTCAAATTTCTGAGCTGCCTACATTCCTACAGAATCGACAGCCAAACTTTACTTTCGCGTAAAGGAAACCTGCCTTCCAAGTCCTCACGCAACTTCCGCCGCTTGGCATCCTCCTGTGCGTGACGCACCTGCATGCCAATTAGATGGCCGCGATGGGCAAAATCTTCATTAGACGTCCATCTCTGACAAAAGGCTGCGCAGGTAGATCAACAAGCTTTGGCCTCCAGATCACGAGCTGCCTTCCGCTTCCTATAACCAGGTTCTCTCATGTTGGGTGGCAACAACCCAGCGGGAAGCAACTCTGCAGGTCTGGTCTGGTCCTGTCCAGCTCAGATCGTCGGATAGGGTCCAACCTGCTCAAACATCAAAGATTCCAGGCTGGCAACCCGCTCAAATCGCTAACCCCCTCAATTCGCTCAGCAATGCATCAGCTGGAGCTACAGCTCATCAACAATAGTGCAAAGCCAGCAACGCGACACAAGCAGCAACATGTGGTAAAAATTGCGATTCGTAAAATGCTGGCTGCAGCTAAGAGGCAGCAGGTCCTGGAACAAACAAACTTTGCAGCCTACAGGCGTGCAGTCTTGCGGGCACATGCGTCCTTTGCCCGTGTCAACCGATCAAACTTTTCCGCGGCCTCACGAGCACAGGGCTCCACGCTCATCAGACCTCATCTGCCAACGCACCACGCCACCACGCCTCTGGATCATCTGGATGTCCTGAGAAATGAATTCTGACACTGGCTTTGGACCGCCCATCAAAGCTTGGCACGATTCCATCATAAGTGCCAGGTGACTGTCTGGATGGCACTTCAAGGAGATCTTTCGATAAGCCGTCTGCAGGCACAGCTGAGAGGGTGTAGCTGCGTAATGTTGTGGCACACCAGGGTCATCAATTGGTACAAAGTGCTTCAATGCGAAATTGTGACGGCATGGTCAGCCACCCATATCTTACAACAACTTGAAAATCATTGGAAAAGTTCCGCATATCCCATTGTGTATTATTGTATCTTCTAGCGAAAGATCTAGGTAAAGCTGTCAGCATCATGAATGAGCTGCAAAAGCCCAAATCTGAAGGCTGCTAGGCTCGCCTTGATCTCCTTTTCCCCTGCATCATCCTCGATTTGGAGCAGCTCGTAGGGGTTCTCCAAGTCATCATCCTGACGCTTGACGCTAAGACAACAGAAGTGACTTCAAAAGACCAAGTTGGCTCTGTCCTTGCTCTTACCAACGGCAGCACCGCCATCACTCATTGCAAGCAGCTACCAGAAAAAAGGCAGGTGCATCGTTAGGCCACAAGATAGAGCGCCTGGAGACGTGACGTGCTTGGAGTGGGCTGAAAATACGTAACGGGCAGAGGCAAAAGGTTGAAACGCAGCCTATCAGTGATGGGTTCCAAGAGCCTGGCATTACCAGTTCCTAGTTGTTGGATGCATGCATGCACGCATATAGATGCATACCTGAAACATTGAAGCTGTAGCCAGAGCAGGAACCCAATGTTGAGGTACGAAAGGCACAAGACTGGCGCAACATGCCGGCTCGGCCGACAAAAGCTCCATGATGCCCTCATAGAATTTTTTGTCAGCGTGAGCTGGCACCTGCATCAGACCCTATGGATATTTTCGCTCAAGGCCAACAGGTGCAATAGGTGCTTGCTGCCTCAATGGTCGTGAGAGGCATAGCAGGCTCCGTCAAGGTCATGACTGGTACCTCTGTTACTTTTCCGCAGCAGATCGTGGCAGCTACCCTGCTTGGAGTAGAGGCCTCCCCCGGCGCCAGGCCATGGCGCCTATCCTTGAAGGGATCCTCGAAGAAGCAAGGACTGCTTTGCTTTGCTTTGCAGTCTGCAGCATAATGCTGCTAGATGATTGCATGATATTCCATGCAATGTCCTCCACCTGTCCCTCATCCAAGATGAGTTGTGCTGGCTGGCCCGGCACGACCCTTAGTGAGCGTGTGCAAGTGATCATCTTCAAACGGCCATCTTGACCCTGCACAGCACACCAGCACACACTTGAGCAGACCAATGGGTCCAATGAGTTGGCCACTGCAGCTATTTATTTTCCTTTTTTCTTTTTTCTTCTCTTCATCTCTTCCATGCTTGGAATGTGT